AAGAGTTCCCTGCGGGGCTATTACACTTTTTCCCTTCGGGGGAGCTATCTAAAAGTGGTCAGTATTTGCTCCTGCCCCTCACCCGAGAGGCGGAAGCTACTTTCAGATTTAATGTCGTATGTGGTTGTTGAGCACTTGAGCATAGTACGCACACGTGGGAGCTTTAGACAGCTCTAGTTGGGAGTTGGAGTGGGACCCCTGATGAAGGTTGAGAACTGCAGCCCCTAAGGTAACCAATCCTTGAGGTAACTCCTTTTCACCTACACTATGCTAGCTCAAGTACAAGAAGGCAAAACTGGAAGCAGCCATCCGGTGCTTACTGCAGAGCATCGGTACCTTCCGCCGAGTCACGGTGAGTCCCTCTTCTCGGCATGCTATGACCGACTGACGTTGGCTCCATACCCTTAAGCTAGCAAAAGAGAAGGCAAGGGATCCTACTGGATACTTTACCCAATCTTTTGCTAAGGGGAGGAGAAGCAGAGGGGAAGGATGCCCTTGCCCTAGCGGCCGGGGGCCTTTCTAATACATTAATGAAACCAATTGTATGGCTCTTACAGAGCTTGTAAAGGCGTTTCACTAATGCTATAAGGGTTTACTACCTTAAAAGGTAGTACTCAAGAAAGCCCCCTATGAAATAGGGGTCTACCGTACCGCTAGAGCTTAAAAGGGTATTAGGTAGCTAGCTAAGCTTTAGCTCTAGCCCTCTTCCTCCGGAATACGGGCTTTGGTTACCATACCATAGAGCAATAAAGGCCTTACTCTATTCCTTCCTTTGGTTAGGAATAGTCGGCCTTGTTCTCGTCCCCTTCCCTCGCCCCTAGCTACCTAGCAACATAGCTGCATAGCTACATAGCAGCCTAGCTCATTAGCTCCTTTACTAGTGCCTTCCCCTCATGCGAGGATAAGTCACTTTATCGTTTGTGCCCACCGCTAGTAGTTGCTCACTTGCTTGTCCTGCCTCGTTTGGTCGCATTAAGTTGCTCCCTCCTTGGATCAGGGTTTTTTGAAGACTTTGCTGCCCCGTTGTTACGCCTTTAAGGGGCTACCCTCGGGGCAGTACTAGATCCGCTACCCTCTTACTCGCTCGTTACTAGAGGGCTCACCCCAAGCTGATGAGGTAGGGGTGCTTCCTTTCTTCACATGCCAAGTCATCTGCTTTGTATTTTCTGCACTGCGAAAAAGACGTCTTAACCTCGGTATTAGTGGAAAATACCACACGACTTTTGCAAGTGTTGTGTCTTTCTTTAGGTATCGTGATACATTACACTTTGGACATTTCCTTACTGATGCATACTCATTTCGGAACAAAATGCAGTCATTAGGACAAGCATGTATCTTTTCATGGGTCAATCCAATGGAAGCAAGTACTTGTTTAGCCTCATATGTTCTCTTCGGTAGCACGTTATCCTCCGGCAGCATCTCATGTAATAAACTTAGCAGCTCTGTGAAGCTCTTATCAGTCCATCCATTCGAGGCTTTTAAATTATAAAGCTTTAAAACAAAACTCAATCTTGTGAACTTTGTACATCCATTATACAATGGTGTTTCTGCATCATCTTTCAGCCTCTCAAACATCTTTGGACAATCTCTAAGATCTTCTTCAACAACGTTTGGAATTTGTTCAGAATGATCACTCTCATTTGTTCTAAATGTCTCTGAGTAATAGACACTTGATTCCATGTTAGTTGATGTACTTCCACCTTGTATCTCATCGTGCTTTGTCCAACAAGCATATTTTTCATCAATCCCATTGCACATTAGATGTTCTTCCAATTCTTCCGCATTTACTTGTAACATATTCAAACAACACCAACAAGGACAGAGAATAAGGTTGACATCAGTTACATTCTTAATCACAAATCTAATAAACTCTTTGACTCCGTCTTCGTATTCTTCACTTAAATGATCAACTATCATCCAACTTCGATCCATATTTGCTCCAACTACGGTTACGATCATTATAAATGTGAATGTCTTATATTAACTCTCACATGGTAGGGCCCTATCCCATTTGAGAATAAACTTTTTCCAACCTTAATTAACAAATGCTACTTAAATGTTGTATTTTTACTTGACAAAATTTGGGCAACATTTTGCATTAGTCTCCTAGTACATAACTTGAAATATATGAGATGATTTACCTCAATCAAGCATGCACCAAGAGACAATGAGAAATGCTTCAAACTCAAATTTTGTTAAGTATTAAATACAACATTATGAGAAGCAAATGCTAACAAATTAATGAATAAGTTTGTTCACAAACTGTTCAACTTGAACAATTTGAGATTGAAAATAATGATTTATTAAACATTATTTTCAATCTCAAACGGGAAACTATGGTTTCACTCAATTTTACATTTGAAGTCATGACCTACAAAGTTTAATCACTAACAGTAATCATGCATTCATCACATTCTACAATACAACATCAAATTCATTCATACACAGAGGAAATATATATTTCAGGAGCAAAACAAACAAGAATATAAAATTTTTAAAAATCCTAATATCATAGGTTAACAAACACAACAACATGCTCTTCCATTATAACTAACCAGTGTCCTAATATCATGTTCAACAAATCATAAAAAATCATTCCAACAACATTTCAGAGGTTAACAAACTAAGATTGAACCTGCCCATATCAACTTTTACAAAATAAAAAGTAATTTCATCCTCTTTGTTCACACGGCAGCAATGGTCAACATGTTAATAATATTTAGTTCATACAAATTATAAACACAGTAACATGCACTAACCTGGAATTGAGAAAGAAGTGCAAATTTGTCGCAGTTCAGCTAGGATCAGAAATGGAGGAGACGTTGTCACTGTTCAACGTCAAAAACAGAGATACGTATCAGTGAACAGAGAGAATGAGAGAGTACAAATGTCCAAACATGGCCACAAAACAAAGAAACGATTATGAATATACCTTCAATTTCTGATTGTGATGTCAGGTGTGCTTATTCCTCTGCAAAAATTTCTCAAACCACTGAATAGAGAGAATTTTTAAATACAGACTTGGTGGGATGACAGGGATAACCAGATTAGGGTTTTAAAAATACAACTCTAAGAAGTATATATTAGAGAGTGGTTCCAAATGAACCGCTCTTAGAAGTCAATATTAGAGAGCGATTCCAATTGAATCGCTATAAGAAGTATATATTAGAGAGCAATTGAGGCAGAACCGCTCTCTTAGTGTTTTATACAAAGCGGTTATTACTAACTGCTATCTAAGTAGGCGCTTCAAAAGCTAATTTTTGGCGTAGTGATACCATGCATGGTTATAAAACCATCAAACACAAGAATGTCTTTTAAGTTTCAGTGTCGACAGTTTCCAATTGCAGTAAGTTTTACAATGACCATAAATAAAAGTCAAGGTCAAATTTGTTTAATGTTGGTCTGTATTTGTCAAAGCCTATTTTTTTTTTCTATGGACAATTATATGTGATTGATTATCTTTAGAGTTAAAAATAAAAAGGTTTTAAGATTCTAATATGCAGTGAAAAAATATTGTTTCAAACATAACTGCAAATGTTGTTTACAAAGAAGTTTTGGATAAACTTTTGTAATGTTTAATTGGTTGATACAAATTAATAATATGTATTTACAAAAGTCTTTTTTTAATAATACTAGTAAATGATTATATTAATAAATATGAATGCTCTTAGAATTATTTTTAAAAGCATTAGAACTTTTATTTTAATATAAAAATTTTCAAGAATCATATGTTTGATTGTTTGTTTGAGTAAAGATGTTACTTATCAAATAGTTTATGAGATTGATATACTCATTTTTATATTCCATATGTCTCTTTTGCATAAATATTTTGAGAGCAAAATGAATAATTGAGCACTCACTGCATGGTGTTTTCCTCTTGGGAAGGTCAGTGGAACTTTAATTCAATTAATAAGACCATTATATTTATAATAAATAAGTTGCACACCTCAGGAGATGAATAAGTAATAACCCGTATTTTACTCCTATGATAATTGTTAATCTATTTCGGGTCTAGATCTCATTCCCTATGAATTGTACTCTTCACTATTTAAGGTTTCATAATAGAAGACCTAGTTTTGGTGGCCAATAAATGGTGTGACGGTAATGGCAAGATAGTAGTTTATATAAACAACGTATATATTTGTTTATAGGCATTCTACACTTGTTTAAAATAGCATATTGATGGTCAGTTATTTATGTTAAAATAAAGATGGGTACGAGGACATCTCAAAAATTGTAGCACGGAGAGAAGAAACTGAAAAAGACACCTAGCCGACTAGGTTATTGTTCAACCAGCAGAAAGAGAAGAAAAGAAATTAAATGTAATGGTTTTCACAAATAAAAAAAGAAACAACTTTTGGATTAAAAAAGACAAAAAGGCTTAACAATTAGGATAATTTTAAAATTACATTAAAGAAAAAAAGACAGTAGTGTTAAAACTATCATCCTTAAAAAATTAGATTTTAATATTGTTTTAACGATGAATTTAAAGATTTACAGTTGTTTGTCTATTTTGTTAAGTGAATTGTAAGTTAAATTAATATATTTTTTTTTTAATAACATCAAGAAACTAAACAAATAGAAAAAAATAAACCAACTACAAGGGTAATGTAAAATCAATTCCCAAATATACCAAAACAAAATTAATATTACTATTAATATAATGAAGCAATCAAAATGTGAATACCTAAAATATCGATCATATCTTGTGAAGATTTTTTTAATTTTTTCGCAAATAATTATTATAAATAGTGTATGTACAAATTAATTTGTTTGTTCATTAGTTCTTATTTATATGGAGTGCCATCTACATAAGGAAATTAATTTCTTCCCTTTAAAGAATAAAATTAAAAACATAAACAAACATAATAATAATAAAGTTAATTAATATAAACACTCGTTGAAACATAATCAATAGAATAAAAACAGGAAAAAGAATGGAAAGAATAGCATAAGCATCATCAATCAGTGACTAATTATGGGTGTTTGGTTCCCCAGAATCACCAAGGGAGTATCGTCTTTTTGTGCCTGTGATGGTCGGGCACACCAGGGTAGTAAGGAATTCCAATATCCTCAATCCAATCACTGCCATGAAAGAACTTGGAAGGAGCAAACAAACGTGCAGCTTTGGAATTGAGGTTCCAAATTCCAGCCCAATTCACACGCTTCAATTTGTCTGATCCAGGCCCTGTGTTGTGGTACTCCACATAAAAGCATGTGTCCATTCCGGTGGGGCCTTCTGGTCCTTGCCATGGCAAATACCCATCAGGGTGAATCAAATCGTCAATGTAAGTGTCCATAACCACCGTCCTTGAGTAATTCTTCCAAGGACGTGCTAGATAAGCCTTGTTCTCGAACCTCACTGGGTAGAACTCAGGGTCAGACACAATGGACCCACCTTGGATGACTATTGCTGAAGGTTGTTGCCTTTCTTTTCTTCCCTGTGCTGTCACGATGCATTGTTGGTTCTTCATCGGCTTTCGCACCACGAAAGTGCAGTTTTGGAAAACGGCTAAAGCGTTCCCAAAGACGAAGTCGATGGTGCCCGAAATGGTGCAGTCTCGGTAGAATTGACGCATTGTGTGTACGTAAAGCGTGTCTTGGTACCCATCCATTGAGCAGTTGTAGAAGATGGACTTATCTCCTTGAACCCTCAATGCCACTGCTTGGTGCTTTTCCGGCCCAGCCGAGTTCTCGAACCCCATGTTGATAGCTACGAAGTAATTTCCTTGAATTGCTGTAGCCATGTACGCATGCATATAAAATGAATGTTTTGATTAATTTACATTATTTTAATGAATATATCCTTTGTTTATGAGAAATATTCAGTAAACATGTATTTCCACAAATAACAGAGACAGAAATTATAGATTTGATGATATGAAAATAGAACAGAAGACATACCAACAGTGGCGGTTTTGTAGGTGTTAATCCCATCTATGAAGTTTTTGTGGCCAGTGATTCGCGTCCTTTTGCCACCATCACCCACAAAAAACACGTGTGTCATTTGCTCGGTGACTTCAACATACTCTGGGTAAATCCCTTCCTTGATGTAGATCACAAATGGCCTTTCGTTCTCCTCAGGCACCTTCTTCAATGCCTCATTCACGCTCCTGCAATCACCGCTCCCATCCATGGCCACAGTCACATTAGGCTTGAGTTTAAATGCATCCAGGATCCTCCGGCGATCATCGGAATGTTCTAGAAGGAGGCGACGCCCAAGTAACTGGGTGACATTCCAATCGGCGACACTGTCGGCTAGTTCCGTGACGATGGCAAGGATGTTACTGCTCATGTGCATGCTCTGCGTTAAAAGCTCTTCCATCCTTTTACTGGCTTCGCTGGTGCTGTTCTCGAAGCCGTCCAAGCAAGTGTCTTGGTACGTCACTGCGCCACTGAGCCACACCTTCAAGTTCATGAGGATCTCCTCCAAATTTCTCAGATCGAACTCGCCGATTCCGTCGAGCGACCTTCTCAGTTCCTCAATTGAGAGGTTCATGAGTTGCTTGCACGTCTCAAGTGCCATCTTGGCCCTTGGCTCCTTCTCGACCTCGTGCATGAGATCCGTGTCCTTGATTTTGTTCTCAATTTTGGCAATGGTGACGTTGAAGGCGATTTTGATGAGTTCTTTTGGGTCTGTGGTGTTGCCAGCCACTGTTACGAGGCTTTCCTCGCATTCTTTTTTGTAGTCGGTGGGATGGCAAAAGGTTTGAACAGCTTTCACGGTGGAAGCCACGTGTCTGTTCTTGTTGTCCTCTGTTTCGTTGTCAGAGCCATCTTTTTGACGGACTGTCACGGCGGCAACCACCATAGCCACCAATAATAGGGCTGAGACTCCCATTATGGCGATTCTCCTTCCCTTTTGTGCATCTCCTTCCCCTGACATATTCTCCCCCCGTAATTGACCACTTTCTCACCTGTTGCGAAATATACATTATAAAAATCAATGTTAAACCCTAATTTTGAGCGAAGAACAATCAACAATAATATCACATCAATGATTGCTAGGAAGAGATTAAAGAAAAAGAATTATATATATATATATATATATATATATGAATAAGCATTAATATAATTAACTTGATAAATGCTTAATGATTGGTTGGTGCACTTACTACGGAAAAGAAGGAGCCCTGAACAAGGGAAGTAATCTCCTTAGGCGGTGGCAATCCCGTCAACGTTCTTTGGAGAGCCAATTCTCCGTCGAAGTTCGCCGGAGATTGCAACTTGCGATTTGGGGCAAAAGTTAGTCAGTATTTATATACGTCAAACAATGGCTTTTTACAGCAAATAGAAGTTGGTTTAATCCAATGTGATTGGTTCTAGCTACAATGCCAGATAAGTACCCTTTCTGAAAAATAGGACGCGGCAGCCACACATAGTATATTGCTTAAATTTGTATTTCATTTACACAACATAAATCTATATATTTTTTAATTTTACTATATACTTTTTTCCCTCTTTACTTTGTGTTTTTTAATTATATATTATATACAAAATATATAAAAAGGTAGCAATAATACAATTTCCCTTTTACTTTTTCTAAAATATTTTACGTTGATTCATTAACTTGGAAAAAAAATAAATTATAATTATATATTATATATTTGGAAAATAGTTGGTAAACATTGCTTAAGCATTTTTTTGCTACTCTTTCTAAATTTATTTAAGCCAATTTTTCTGCAAAATTGACTTAAGCGAATTTGTTTTAACTTAAGTTAAAATCATTTTTTATCAAAATTTACTTAAAGCTAAAAAATTTCGCTTAAGCGAATACAAAACTGTAGTCTGCAGTTCCTGCCAGAACTGCAGACGATCCGGATTCTTATATAGCACCTAATTACATGTTGAATAAAATATAAATATATTTTTTTATCAGAAAAAATGTGTGACATGCTCGTTTTTCTAAGCATACTTTCTTCGTTATAACAAGAATTGAAAATGCGTACTTCTTAGGCAATTTTCCATTTCCTTGCCCAACATATAATGTCTCCTTTCTTCAACATACAAACATATGGTAACGTTTGGCTATCCATTTCCATTTGTTCTTGATCCTTCTATTACCTCACTTGTGCACAGCTAACTACTTTGCGTAAGAAGGTGATCACACCCACCATTGAAGCTAATAATATGTCAAACAACACAATTCTATGAAAGAAAAGCTTGTCTATCGAGAAGAAGGTGATTGCTTCTTTATCTTGTTCTTCATCTTCGTCTTTCATCTCTCATGGCATTTGCTACAAGCATATATATAAATTACTTTTACTGACTTTCTATAATGCATCCTGAAGAAAAGTTTTGGAGGGATCCACAAAATTGGAAGGTAAGTATGAATATGAGTATTTTGTGTATGGACAATTAATCCTTGTATGTTTCATGATTATTTGACTGTTTGTTATGACAAGACCATGGAAACTTATAATTACTTCAAATTGGTTAAGGATGAAGAACTAGACCTAGTCAAAAGGGTGCAGGAGTTTAAAGCCTTTGAAGAAGAGATTGAACAACTGAAAATGGAGGAAGAGGAAATGAAAGAAATCTACGTGCATGGAGCTACAGAAGAAATTAAGAAGCTTAAAAATGGTGTGACCAGCTGGAAAAAAAGATGAACAATTGGAAAGAAAAGTTGAGAACTTGCATAGGAAGTTGATTGATGAGGGAAGTAGCAATAATTGTTTGCCTATCTTGACCTTTTTCATTGCCTATTAACGATTTATTTTTGCACCTTTTATACTGTGAAATCTAATGGTTTAAAGCAAAGTATGTAGATTTAGTTTAGATGCAGAGATGTGGTACTTTAGGGCAATGATCTACACACAGTGGATGTGTAACTGACTATATGTATTTTGTTGTTGAGTTTAACGAAAAAAATTAATATCAATCTTTAAAATGAATTTTAACTTTAAACATTAAAATTAATTTTAAACAAACTAAAAATGCTAAAATTTATGAAAAAATTAAAATGTTTAGTATATTGAGAATATAATTAAAAATATAATGAATGTTTTTGTTTTTTCAATAGATAATTACTTTTCAACACTACCTCATAATTACTTTTTGCAAAAGTTTAAACAATCAAACCCTTATTATGTGTTTTTTTTGTGCATATATCTTTATTCCTTTTCCCTTCAATATTTTGAGGTCTATAATTTAAAATTGTTCAACAAAACAACCAAAATTGATTAACAAATATTTAAACAGTATCAAAAATGGTTTGACGTTACTCACCTCTATTTCTATTTCATATAATCAAATCATTAATTTCTTTCTCTTTTATTTGTGCAAATACATGTTTACTAAATATTTTCCATAAACAAAAAATATATCCATTAAAATGAATTAAAAATGTATTTAAAATAATGTAAAGTGATCAAAACATTTGTTCTATATTTTTGAGAGATTAAACTAATTAATTAATTTATGCATCCATTCATGGCTAGAACAAATCAAGGAACTTTACATGCACACAATGCATTAAATCTACTAAGACTGCACCATCAACTCCCTCTTGAGGAATGTACTAGCTAGCCATTTTCCAAAATTGCATTTTCGTGATACGAAACCTGATTAAGAACCAACAGTGCAGCACCTTGAGTTCTACCCTGTGAGGTTCAAGAACAGTGCTTATCTAGCGCGTCTTTTGTAGATTGATGATATTGGGATTTATTACTAACCTGATGTGTCTGCCCATCATAGGCACAAAAAGACAATACTTAGTGATATTTGGGATCCAAACACCTCAATTAGTCATTAAATGCCTGTGTTGTGCTATTAGGCTTCTTTTTGTTCTTTGTTCTGTTTTCATTTTAAATTAGGTCTTAAGTGGGTGTTTATGTTAATTCTATGTTCTTGAAAGATCAATCATAAATGATGTGATTTAAATTCTTTCGATCATTTTGTTGTACAAGAAGGCTAACTGTACACTTTATAATACATACTCAAGCGTTAATTATTTATTAAAAACTACAAAATTAATCATAAGTGATGTAATTTAAATCCTTTGAGCGATTTTGTTGATATGAAATTTATTTTATTATTTTTTTTATATTTTAAATTTCATTTTAAAAGATAAAGAAATTAATTTTCTTACGTAAATGAATAAGAATTAATGTACAAACAAATTTATTTATATAAAAACTATTTACAATAATTATTTGCAAAGAAAATTTAAAAGACTTTGATATCATAATTATTCACGTTCAATCGTAGACAAAAAAAAAATGTTGAGTAATATATCAAATTCTTCAAAGTGATAAAAAAAATCAAAACCTAATTTTTTTTAAGGAAGTTATTTTTAACACTATTTTTTTACTATACACACTAATCTATCTTTTCAATATAATTTGTAAAATATCATAATTGTGAAGTCTTTTCATCTTTTTTATAAAAAAAAATTGTCTCTTTCTTTATTTTCTAAAACTATTACATTTAATTTCATTTTTTCTCTTCCTCTAGACTCTATCATATCACTATCATTAAGACCATACGAGAAATAGTAATAAATATATTATATGTAGTTCTTTATTTTACTTTTTAAGGATTTATGTATTTTTAATTATACATTTCGTTAATTTAGTCTGATGTGTTATGACTTGTATTTTTATGTTATAATCTAGTAGGGTATCGTTTGTCTTTATACTCATTAATATAATGGTTAATACTTGCATAAAAAAAATTCATAACTTAAATTTTAGTCATATTTTATTAATAACTATTATGTGGATAAAAATACTTGCATTACGTTTGACTAACTTAATTTATTAAAGACAATGGCGTTAGTTATGACCAACTTAGTTATAATTTCTACAACTTTATTTGATTTGTGATTCAACTCAATTCATTTCATTTTTAATATGAGTTGACTTTAATCGTCTTTTACCTCTTGCTCTTTTATAATGAAACACTAATATTTATTTATTATTTATAAAGATATTGCTTTCATTTTAGAGAGAATATCACTCTAACGAATATACATTTAAAAAGTGTTGCATTGAATAAATTAGGTCAGCATATTGACAAAGAAAAATATTCACAGCAATACATGTGGAATAGAAGTACTAATGCTATATTGCATTTTTTGACTTTTTTATAAAAAATACTTTTTCAAAAACTATTTTTTAAAATAGAATTTTTTTAAAACTAATTCTCAGTCTGATATTTATTTTTTGCCACATTAGCAGTAATATTGTCCCAATATAAATGATAATAATTTTTTATTATTATTTTAATAAATTATTATTTACCTACAAATTAACACTTGTCATAAAAAAGTGTGTATCAAATAAAATAAAATGATCTTAATTTTTTTTTATTATTTTAATAATTTATCGATTAAAAATAGTCGATACTGCTATCACCCCAATTTTTTCGATACCCTCTGTAACTTGAAGTGTCATAATACAGTTTCATTGGAGATCAGAGTAAATGGATATGTGCAATTGATGAGAGAGATTAATGGGAATGATAGCATAGGGTTTATGGTAAAAAAAGTACATGAATAACAGCATCGAGTACATGAATGATAGCTCAATATATCCAAAAACATTTATGAGCCTGCAATTGGTTTTCTATTTCGTTCCCATTATTCCCTCTCGTTAATCCCACATATCCATATGAATTTATATTCCGACTTTTCAAATTACAGAAGGTATCGGAAAAAATGGAAAGATAGCAGTATCAACCATTTTCCAATGATAATTTATTAAAATAAAATAAAAATTAATATTATTTTATTTTATCTAATATTTTTTTATGACATGTGTCAATACGTAGATAATATTGACCATATTGAAATGATAACTTATTAAAGTAATAATAAAAAATTATTATTATTTAAATAAAAATAATACTATTGCTGATATAACAAAAAAATACTAAATAAAAAAT